GAGCTCTTCCAATCCCCCTGCACGGACACCCTACCCCAGGCCCCGCACCCCTGTGGAGGGATGGACACCCTACCCCAGCCCCTGCAGCCCACACCTCCGACTCCCGATCTCTTCCCCTGCCAGGGGCACCCACAACAATAGCACACCGGCAACCACCCGTCAGCGCCCCTGAGGCACCCAGGGCCCCCTCCACTGGGGCCGGGCACGTCTCTCCTCCCTACAACTCCAGACCAGGGTGGAGGCAGGCCTGAACGGCCCCCCAGGGTCAGCCCCTTCTCCCCCCACACACACACAAAGCAGCAGCACCTTCTCTGCAGCTGAAGCATGCAGAACCTCGCTGGAGGCGCGGCTAAACCCGCCCCTAGCCCACCTGGCTCCGCCCTAGCCCGGACCCAACCCTGCTCCAGGATATTGGAGCCCCGCCTTGAGCAGGTACAGCTGTGAAATAGCCACTTACAATTTAAAGAAAGGAGCTAAGTGGGAAGGTTTGACAGTTACTCCCCCTTCAGCCTTGCTGCCCTCCTAGTGCCCCCCCTAACTCCCTGCCCCCCACCAGCACCTCCAGGGACGACCACCACTACAGGGTTGCTGGCCAGAGCCTGCCCCTCCAAGGCCTGCGGAACCCTCTGCAAAGCTTCCATAACTACAGTCCCAGGAAACAATCATGCCCTCCTCCCTTAATCAGCACCTGCTACCTGTGAGGGTACCCATGAGCAGTTGGGGGCGAGCAGGCTGGCATTGGAGGGCAGTTGTGGGCGATCAGGTCGGCAGGCAGAGTGGTTAGGGGCGATCAGGCAGGCAGGCAGGTGAGTGGTTAGGACCAGGGTCCCGGATTGTGAGAGGGATCCCAGATTGGTGAGGGTGCAGGCCAGGCTGAGGGCCCCCCTCTCTGTGCATGAATTTCGTGCACTGGGCCACTAGTCTATATAATAAAAGGCTAAATGACCATTACCGCAGAACAACCAGAATAACTGGTCACTATGATGCGCACTGACCACCAGGGGGCAGATGTTCAACAAAGGAGCTGCCCCCTGGTGGTCAGTGCACTCCCACAGGGGGAGTGCCGCTCAGCCAGAAGCCGGGCTCACAGCTGGTGAGCTCAACAGTGGTGGCAGGAGACTCTCCTGCCTCCACAGCAGCTCTAAGAAGCAGCGAGCCAAGTGGTAAGGAGCAGCGAGCAGGCGGGCAGTAAGAACCCAGGGGTCCCAGACTGCAAGAGGGATGTCTGCCTGCTGGCTTAGGCCCACTCCCCTGAGG